CTGGAGGGCAGGGCTGTCGTTCGCTTGCAGGAGCCCCGCGCTGGAATTGTCAGTCCCACTGCCAAATTGGAATCTGGACAAAGATTCCTGCCAGACCAAAGGTGCCAGGACAGAAAGCTCTTGCTGCCCATGGAGTGCCCAGGGTGACCCACCAACTGCACCTGAAACCCGAAGGTTCCAGGCTTTCTTTCCCGGGGGAATGGCCGTGACTTCCCAAAGAGTCCCCTGGCAGATGGGTGGGGCTGCACTGGGGGGGTGTGGGGCGTTGGTTCTTTGGTTTCCAGGGGCTATTCCAGAATGGAGACGATGGGCTGGGACATCCTAAAGGGGCACATGGATGGGGCTGCATTCTGACCTTGTGGGGTGTTGGTTCTTTGGTTGCCAAGGGCTATTCCGGAACGGAGAGGGTGGGCTGTGACATCACAAAAGGGCCTCAAGCACAGGGGTTGGTTTAGTGGGTTGACCCTGGCTGGATTTCAAACACCCACTAAAAGCTGCCACCTCACCCTCCCTCTGCAACTCCACAGAGGAGAGAAAGAAAACAGCTGAGGATTCCTGAGTAGAGATAAAGGTGGGGAGAAAGTCACTTACTAATGGGCAAAACAGACTCAAAGTAGGGATAGTACTTAAATTTATTACTGACAGGATAAAAGCCAAAGAGTGAGAAATCAAACACCTTCCCCCACCCCTCCTTCCTTCTCAGCTCTCCCTCCTCCCCCCAGCGGTGCAGGGGGACGGGATGGGGGTTACAGTCAGTTGTTGTTTCTGTCACTGCTCAGGGAGAGGAGTTGGATCCTTCCCTGCTCCTGTGGGGTCCCTCCCACGGGAGACAGTCCTGGATGGAACTCTGCAGTGGGTCCTTCTGGCCCAAATCTGTTCTCCCAGAGCTGTTCCTGTTGCTCCTGATGGGCTCAGCCTTGGCCAGCGGCAGCAAGTCCGTCCTGGAGCAGCTGGCATTGGCTCCACGGGGCAGGGGAAGCTTCTGGCAGCTTCCAACAGAAGCCACCCCTGGAGCCCCCCCGCTACCAAAACCCACCCACAGAAACCCACGACACCCAGGGACTCCCACTTGCCCCAGGATGGTCCCAGTTCCCATCAGCGTGATCCCAGTCACTCCCAGTTCATGCCAGTTGCCTCCAGCATGCACCCTGTCACTCCCAGTTACTCCCAGTTGCTTCCAGCATGATCCCAGTTGCTCCAAGTATGTTCCCAGTTGGCTTCCAGCACAGCCCCACTGGCTCCCAGTTCCCCCCTGCATAGTTCCAGTCACTCCCAGTTTGATTCTGGTCCCTTACAGTCACTCCCACTATGATCCCAATCACTCCCAGTCACTCCCAATTGGATCCCAGTTGTCTCCAAGGTGGTCCAAGTGGCTCCCAGCCCCCCAGGATGGTTCCTTTCCCTCTCAGGGACTCCCAGTCTGAGTCCAGGATGGCCCCAGGCACTGTCAGTCCCTGTCTGGATGATGCCATTTGCCCCTTCATGCTCCCAGTTGCCCCCAGTCTGAGTCCAGTCATTCCCAGTATGATCCCAGGAACTTCCAGACACTTCCAGTATGAAGCCAGTTTGATCCCACTCATCCCCAGTATGGCTGCAGCCCCTCCCACACACTCCCAGTATT